GATTTTTTTCATCAAAGAGGTAACTGAAAATATATCTATGGTAAAATGGAAATCTTCATCATTATTATTAAAAGCGAACAATAAAGCTAAATTTTAGAATAAAGCTATTGAAAGTAGTCCGTAGGCAGATTCGCCCCCTCGGACGTAAATCTGGCTGTAGGCCTATTTTGGCAAGACCATTTTCCTAGGGACGATTTTACGGACGCGGCGAAATTGTCCATTGCAATTCAAAGTGTTGAGAAATTTTGATTTCCACAGTCCATGAAACTTAATGATGACATTATTACTGTTTTGACGTCATCGTCAAAGCGAAAAAAATGGTGGCTTTCAACTGAGATGAAAGCGAAAAACGAGAAGGTGGTCAATGCCACTTGACAATTTCTTGCTCAGTCAAAGACACTTATGGATCAAATCTGATGTCGAATATTCCTTTTTTTCCCATTAAATACAGTTATTTATTGTGAAAAAAGACCATTTGTCTCTACCACCTGACCACTCGTAAGTTTACACCAGTAAACTAACAATAATTTTGATCTTACGATTTTTTGAGAAATGCCATTTACGATTAAATCTACACTTACAACCTACGATTGATCATAAGATTTTTTGAGAAACGGGGCCCAGAAACTCTGTAGATTCATAGACTTGACTCTGTATGGCCGTAAGGATTGAATGAACTCAACCCAGGAGGTTTCAAAATTGCTAAAAATTAGTGTACAGTAAAAACTGTATTAAGAGACTACGCATGGGAAAATTCAAAAACGGTCTGTTACTGTAGGTGGTCTCTTATGAGAGAATTGAGTCGGCTGAAACAATTTCATTCATTTCCTTTATTTCATTCTATGTATTAGAAATATACAAAATAACAATATAACATTTAGATATTATTTACATTTTTTTAATTAGGAAATCTTGTATAGAAGTTTGTCGGTTACTTATATTAATTTTTTTATTAACTGTCATATCTTTTGAATCCATAATTGTATGCAGCATCCATAACCTAACTCTGAATTTTCCTCTAAGGTAATTGCAGTTTCATTTACACTTGCACTTGTGTCAATAAATTCGACGCCGAAAATGTATCATTTCCCAGATCAGTTGCGAATTTCAAAGCCTTGGCCTTTAACAATGGTCCATTTACTACGGCATTCCGGGCTCGACAATCTTTAAAAAACTCCCAAGTTAATTTGTTGATTTCTTCATTGCCGGTGAACCGCTTCACAGGTTTCTGATCGGGAGAAACATTGCTTTCAAAATCCTCCATAATTTCTGCATTACGCTTCAGAATTCCCTGAATTTGGGTCTTACCAACACCTATTTCAATTTGTCGACCACTTTTCCCAAGTTGATGACCTTGACCCTTTCATTTAATTTTAAAACTTTACGTGAGGCTTCGACATTTTGAAAATGAATGGGTCTTGCTTATCTGCCTTTTTATATCGATAATAGACTGACATAAATCATTAACAAGCTATAAAATACTTAAACCGATTAGCGATAATCTCACCGATGTGTGAAACAACTGGATGTTAAATCAAGGGAGTTAATAAGTGTCATGGTCGCTTAATTGACTCAATATGGACTCACTCCACTAATTCATTTGCCATCTTTTCCCATGTTAAAACACGAAATTCAACCTTCTATAACTTTTTCCAGAAATCTCGTTGAAAGCTTTCCAATATGTCGAATGAAAGCCTGGCCAATTCTCAATGTCTACTAAAGAATTCATTATATGATGACCATGAAAATTTTGAGCTACTAAAATTGAAAGTAGACTACTACCGGTTATACTCATCCGCTAGAGTTTGGCACTTTTCATTCAAAAACGACTATTTTTAGAATTAGCCTTCCGCCTTTAGGTCTCTCATCATCTCACCAAATCTGATAGATAATGCAATTTCAGACATCAAATTCCAAATCTAGACCAAATTTTACCCAAAAATAGGCATGCAAAAACCCCAAAAGGGAGAGAGAAAGAAGATTTCTAAAAATAGCCTGGACTACAATCATTTGCATAAAATATTTTAGTGGAGTGAGTACTATATATGTAGCTAATTTTTTTTTTCTTGCTTTAATTTGTTCTATAACATCTGTGGAACAACCTGACCAAAAATTATGCAAATAAACCTAAAAGTAAACCAGTGGTAGTGTTTTTACTTTTGCCCCCTCTTTCGTATAATAAGCTATAAATGTACTGTATAAGCTTGTATACGTACAATTCTGAATTGGTCAGAACTTTTTTATTTATGAAGATAATTCAATTCTGTAAAAAGATTAAGGAACGTTGACCAAAACCAAGCCTGAATAACATAAATTACACAGAATAAGGGTTAAATTTATTACGTCACATTTACTTCGCACATAATTCAGCCTGTTTCTACTTCAAAAACCACAGTACTTCTTAAATTAATGACAATTGCAGAAATAGAAATAACATGGAACCAAATGTTTTCAAGAATGAATCTTAAAAGACCATATATCCATTAGGTAGTGTGTTAAAGTTACAATCATTACATAACTCATTAAGGTTTATGATCCCTAAACCCCAGAAACCAAAATCAGTCCACATAGTAAATAGAAATAAATGATTTCTCTGTGTATTCATTCTGTCTTCAATATATCATTCTGCTGATATTGTCACCTCCCTCAAGTCTCAAAATAATATATATTTAGCAAAAATGAGAAATTCACTCATTTCCATTCAAAACTCTTAATATGAAAGGCGACAGAAAAAGAAAAAGTTCACATTTTTTACCTGGTTATGTAAAGAAAGTTAGTGAGGTGACACAAACTGACTACGACTATGATCTTCCATCTACCTCTGCAGTGTATGAAGACCAAGAATTGAGCTATGTGAATATTGAACTAGACTCTCCAGGTAGTCACAGGGTTTTACGACCAAGGCCTGAAAAAAAAGAAAGCAGTTTTGATCAAAATGAAATCTCAGGCAACAGGATAATCAATGTGGAAAAAATGGTAGAAATGTGGAATATAGCCATTCAGACTCATGCAGACGAAGAGGCCAAGGTGTGTGCAGTACCACAATTTAAGATCAACACAGAAGAAAAATGGGGAATTGCCTAATGCCTAAATTGTGGATACATCTCTCCTGTGGTAAAATTATACAAGGAAATCACGACTGGCAAAAGAGGTAGGAAAGCGGCTGCAGTAAACATCAACTTGCCTTTAGGCAATTCAAGGACTAGGCTTCTACAGGCAGATTTAGATATTCCCCCACCAGCTGAAAGTGGTATGTCCAAGTTATCCAATTATGTGAGTTCAAAGACAACTGACTTGAACAATGAAAGCATGAGAACTAAGTTGGAAGAGGTGAAAAATGTCAATAGACGAAGAGGTGCTTCCAACCCTAACGTGATAAATGTGGTTTTGGATGGCCGGTACAATTGTCTGACCATAGGACACAGCAAGAAACCCGGAGCATCCCAATCAATCGGCATTGCTTGTGAGACAAACACCGATAAGAAATATATCATAAGTGCTGTGTTGCAAAATAAACTTTGATGGACTGGAGCGTGGCTAAGAAACACAGGCATTACTGTCAACTGTCCAGGACACGAGGGATGCTCCTTTATCTGAGTGGTCTGTAGTGGCGGTCACAGCAACAACTGGTGGAATCGATCCATGTCTCTAGCTTCAAACAACTTAACGAGTCTGGAAATGAATGACAATGATAAGTTTCTGTTAAATGAACTTTTGAAAATAAGATTAAGTGAGGAAGCCATTGACAAAACCCGTTATAAGACTGACACTCAAAAATGTGAGTCAATAAATCGATCCATAAACATTTCGCTTCCAAAGAGTGTCAAATATGGAAGAAATGCTATGGGGCGGCTATCATCGACTATTCTAAGATCAAATATTGGGATAAAGGAGGCAACACAGACAAAAGCAGAGTTTTTAGGGGCAAAATTGTCCCCTAAGAGTTTACAAGCACTAAGCAGTAGACAGAAAAAATCAGTGTTCCATAGAGATTATGAAACAAGACCAGAAGTTAAGAGAAGAAAGCTTCTCGCTCGAGGAAGAAATATCCATGAATTTGCAAAATATAAAAAATTCAATTCAACTGACAGTGGGTACAGAAAAGGACAATTAGACAAAATTTTACCTAGTGCTTTGCAGCAGTTGGATGATGATCATTCTTATTCACATTCGCAATGATATTTAAATGTATAATTTGCCTTGAAATGAAGTAAAAAGAAAAATCAGTCTTTTTCATAATAACGTGTTCTCTTTTATACTACAACTCCAAAATCTGGCAACAGAAGTGTCAAAGCCAGCACTAAACTAACCCTAACCATTCCTCGACACTTGAAAAAGGATAATATTTCGAAAACCGGTTCGTGTCAAGTTTTGTTTTACTTGTTATAATTTTTCACATCATTGTTAGCGTTATTTATCACCTAAATATATATTTTTTTGCATTTTTCATCTTGCTTTATATATCCCCAAACCCAGTTTGACTTATTTGCATAATTTGATCCCAACATTTTCACGCTAGCATATACAGTTTCCTCCTGTTACATCCGCTGTACATTCCCTTCTAACCCCAAGTTATTTTCATTATGCTCCCCAACTACAACAACCACTGGCAAGAAGCCAGAAATAGAAACATTAATCGTCAACCAAACCAATATCACATACCCTACAACGGCCCTGTCTTCCATCGACCTCTACCACCTACCAATCGCCGTCCACCAACCAACCCATCCAGCTATATCCCACCCCATGGCCGACCTACCTACAACACAGCCTACCAATCAAGAGGTAACCATCGACCTGACCAACAACAGAAACGACTACCAGCCCACCGACGCCAACCAGTCCCCACTCATAAGGAGGAAGAACCCTTTGTGAAGGTGTTCTTCCAAGTTTTGTAGTGCCTCCATCATTTGGCAATCCTTACCCTTCAACAGCAAGACCAACCAGCGTTTACCTTCAAACACAAAGTCTCTGAGTTGGATAGTTTTATCCGTCCAGCAATGAAAACATCAGCTGTCGACGCGAATATTAGATCCCTCAATCGGACATGGCTCTGTAAGGTTACGCAGGTCCTGATCGACCATTATCAAACCACACTTCAAGAGAAGCTGACCACCATTCGTGCCAAGTCTTTATCATCACCTGCGGTCGACCGCATCGTTTCTCATGCCCTGTCCTGGGCCCGTCGCTCCTATGGGAAACGTCTCACTCAAGCTGTAATCTCCAAATTCTACCAAACAATCAACGAAACAAAAACCAGAGTAACCATATCTCTACCAACTGAAATGGACACTACACCTGCACCATCTAGAGCCACCACGCTGCCGAACCAAACCCCTAAACGAGCCCGAAGTTCACCTACTCCTAGTCCAGCAGACATAGGTAAACGCTCTCGTAGAGAGGGCACACCCCTTCTCTTTTCACTTTCAGACTCGTCTTCCCCTTCCACACCATCTGAATCTTCACCACGTGATCCGGGATCCGCCAACCTTTCTTCCTTCTGTGCGTTTTTGGACCAGCAAACCACCCCTCAGTCTCCATCCAAGTCGAGACGTGTATCCAGACCTTCCCCTCCTCGAACCAGATCCCAGTCCGTTCCCAATGCTACAATTCTAACAACTACCAAACCAGTACCAATCACACCGTCGACGACCATTATATCCGCTACCAAACCGTATTATCACCAAACCAAGGACAAATCATTATGGAAACTACCTGCTCTAAAGAAATCTACCTTAATAATTGGATCATCTAACCTGAGTCGAATTACCAAAACCAGTTCAGACACCGAAATACATTCTTACCCCGGTGCCCAAATCCATCACATACAGTCAATCCTGGAATCATACGACCATGATCCCAAACCTTCTACCATTATTCTTCATGTGGGCCTCAACAACTGTGATCAGATACCAAAGACCTCCTTTAACCAAGCCCAGAAATTAATCGCCACAGCCAACAAAACCTTCCCAAACTCCAAGATCCTCTTCACATGTATACCCATTTCAAATAAAATCTCGAAGAAAGCACAACAGAACCTCAGCACCCTCAACAACATGATGATGGAGTCCAGTATCAACAGCGCAACAATCTTACCACCCTACGAAGAAGAATTCGAAACAGTTGATAATCTTCATTGGTCTCCAGAAACAGCAAGCAGCATCTATTTGTTTTGGATACACCAGCTTCAAGCATCGAGTAAGTCTTTAAACTAATTACTGGGGATAAAAATACTGAGAGGCCACCGCTAGGCCAAACTGTAGTTAACTTGAGCCGCAAAATTCTCACACCCCTTCAGCATTCAATCTTAGACCGTGGACTTAAGTTTATTCCCACACCAAAGATAGCTAACTTGAATTATCTCCGACCATCCATTGAACGATTTCAACGAAATCTTAGCTGCACATATTTTTTTCGAAACCACCCCCCACGTGGTGCTAGAACAATGTTTATTCCTAAATCCATGTGGACACCCCCTTAGGCCGCCATCCATCCTGAAATATTGAAAGCATTTGCGAGTATGAATAGCCAAACAGTGAACCTTTCCATAACACACGAAAAGCCTAATCTCACACGAGTGGAACGTGAAGCGTTAAACTTACTTAAGAAAGACGATAGCATTGTTATTAAAAAGAGTGACAAAGGTTCATGTTGTGTCATTCTGAATGTGGAGGATTACGTTTCAGAAGCAGAGAATCAACTGAATAATCCTAAACATTATGCCATTTTACCGAAACCAATTTTCAAAGAAACTGCTAACATGATTAATAATATTCTTGCCGATTTAGTCAAAACTAGTTATCTCAAACAGAAACAATATGACTGTCTGTCTGCCAAACCTGATTGTCGCGAGAGACATTTGTACACTTTGCCTAAAATCCATAAGAATCCAACCAAGGAGTGGTTTATCTCGAATAAAATCCCCAAAGGCCGCCCGATTATATCTGACTGTGGTAGTGAGTCATATGCAGTGTTAGAATACATTGATCATTTCTTACTACCTCTAGCATGCCAACATCGCGCCTACCTTAAAGACACAACCGATTTTGTCAATAAAATAAAAAATCTTCGAGTTCCCTCTAATGCCATTTTAATTTCTATCGACGTTTCTTCTATGTATACCAATATCGATAACACTACTGGTTTAACGGCAGTTCGTAAAGCTTTTAATAGAAACCCAGATCCAAACAGACCCGACGATGCAATTCTACAGCTTTTAGAGATTTGTCTTAGTCGAAACGATTTCACATTTAATGGTAAAACATATTTACAAACTTAAGGGACAGCAATGGGCAAACGATTCGCCCCTTCGTACGCAAACCTTTTCATGGCAGAGTGGGAACGTGAGGTGTTGCCCCTCTGTCCATTTGACCCACTTTTTTACGGACGCTTTTTGGATGACATTTTTATGGTTTGGACTTATTCTATCGAACAGTTTTTGGAATTCTTTGAAATTCTCAACAACCACCATCCTTCTATCAAACTAACCGCAAACGTGAGTGACAAAAGCATAGACTTTCTCGATACCACAGTCTTTAAGGGAGATTCCATAGCAGAAACAAATAAACTGGATATTAAAGTTTATTTCAAAGAAACTGATACTCATCAACTCTTGCACAAGAGCTCCTTTCACCCAAAACATACCTTTTCTGGTATAATTAAGTCACAAGTTTTACGATTTCATCGAATTTGTACAAGATCTTCTGATTTCAACCAAGGCTGTACGATTGTTTTCTCAAAACTGAAAGAGCGTGGGTACTCTAAACGATTTTTACGAAACATAAAAAATTCCACCTTAGCACAGATAGCAGCTAAAAACAGACTTTATGCCGAAGTACCTCCAGGTTTAAGAAGTGCTCCATGTTTGTCCAGTAGATGCAAAACATGTCCCTTTATATCAGAAACTCATTATTTTGTAAGCAACTCTACGAATAAAAGGTACCCGATCCAGAAACATCTAACATGTGAACATTCGAATGTAATATATTTAATTTCATGCAAGAAATGCCCCAAACAATATGTAGGAGAAACTAAGAATAATTTACGAACTCGCTTTAATGCTCATAGGTCAGACATCAAATTAAAGAAAGACAAGCCTGTTTCTAATCATTTCAACCTCGACGACCATTCAATAGACGATCTCACCCTAATCCCAATTGAGCGTATAGAAATTGACTTGCCCGAAGATGAAACTACCAAATTCCGTCAATCTAGGGAGGCCCATTGGATTGAGACATTGAATACAGCAAGACCTATAGGACTAAATATTCATCATAATGTAGGCATAGCACCCTTTGTTGTCCCGTTTAATACAACCAGCAATCGAGCAAGCAAGATAGTTCATGCCCACTATAAGAGCCTTCAAGAGAAATTCCCCCATGTCTATAATCAGAAAATGATAGTTGCATATTCAAAAAATAAGAACTTAAATGATAATATTGTTCATAGTAAACTTAAAACAATCAGTACATAACAGATACTATACTTCTCTCATCGGGCGAGTTATTTTTTCTAATTTCAGATCAGAATAAGAACAGAAGAAAACCCAATATCAAGACCCTTAATCCTAATTTCTAAATATAGTGTCTTCTCCACCCGAGGCCTGTACATTTGGGAGAATCAACCCCCCCCGCCCCTCCCTTCACTCGTTTTGGCATTACAAAATATTCATAAACATGAAAGCCAATCTTTTCACATTCATGGTCTTTCTTCTATGACTGATGGGACATTGAATAGATATTACCCCATACTTACCATTTGATGACAAAAATTAAGCCCCCTGCCATATCCTGCAAGAGAAATTTATAGCCCAAAAAGATGAATTTTGCAGCCTGGCACTAGTGCATGTGTTTAAGGCATCCATTTTGTGTGAAAACATGTGAAGAAAAACAAATAATTACAATTTTGATACATTGCTGCAACGTTGGCAGGTCGAAATTTGGCTGAAATGGCGTTTTTCAATAAAAGTGGCAAAAAATTCAAATTTTGGACAAAAAAATATGCAAATGTAGCCACAAAAAGTATTTAGTCTTTATTCTACCTATTCTGAAAATTTCATACAAAATCATTCACAACTTTTTGAAAAATATCAATTTTAAAAAATAAATTACCTTACCAGACAGGACTCACTCCACTAATTCATTTGCCATCTCTTCCCATGTTAAAACATGAAATTCAACCTTCTATAACTTTTTCCAGAAATCTCGTTGAAAGCTTTCCAATATGTCGAATGAAAGCCTGGCCAATTCTGAATGTCTCCTGAAAAATTCATTATATGATGACCATGAAAATTTTGAGCTACTAAAATTGAAAGTAGACTACTACCGGTTATACTCATCTGCTAGAGTTTGGCACTCTACAAAACAACTATTTTTAGAATTAGCCTTCCGCCTTTAGGTCTCTCATCATCTCACCAAATCTGAAAGAAAATGCAATTTCAGACATCAAATTCCAACTCTAGACCAAATTTTACCCAAAAGTAGGCATGCAAAAACCCCAAAAGGGAGAGAGAAAGAAGATTTCTAAAAATAGCCTGGACTAGAAGATTTCTAAAAATAGCCTGGACTACATTCCTATACAATCATTTGCATAAAATGTTTTAGTGGAGTGAGTCCATATGATTACACGTTTATTACATTGAAAACTCGTAGGGGGGGATTTTATTGTGATCGCATATTGAAGGTCACGTGAGCAGGATATACTGTATTTCCCCCCCTTCCTCCCTCCCCTTTTTCCCTTTCTGTTTAGATTTTTTGGCAAATCCTGAAGTCATCATTACATACTTGTTATGTTGTATCTAAGATTTTGATGTCATAAATCTTCTGAGGTCATATCATCAAGAATCAACTTGCCTCCCACCATTTTGTGACTTGACCCTTCTCTTGTTATGTGGTTTCTAAGATTGTGACGTCATAAACCATTAGGTCATATTGTAATTTTAATCTTAACTGACTTCCACCATTTGTAGTTTGTTTCTTCCCCTGATGAAGTCAAAATTTTTTTGACGAAACGTTGGATATTAAAGGATGATATTTGATGTCAAGTTTTATTATTTATTACACCAAGTTCAGTATAAATCAAATGAATTGCTGCACTACTAGTGGTATTGGTGATCCCATCAAAAAGTCTTCTGTGATTGGTTATTGCTGCCTGTTTTTTCTTTTTGGAATCACCACATGAAATGGGGGTGTATATTGTCGTCACCCATGTCCGTCCGTCTGTTTAAAGGCACAATTCTTGACTGACTTTGACGAAAATTGGTATGATTGGTTGTAATCACCCAAGAATGAACCCTATTGAAAATCAGAAAAATCGAAATATATTTAGTATGAGTTATTGCCCTTGTTCTTGTAATAGTCATAAACACTCTAGAAGGTGCAATTCTTTCATGTTGATGAAACCTAGTGTGAGTGTTTGATATCACCCAAGGATGAACTGTATCGAAAATCAAAAAATATTTAGTATGAGTTATTGCCCTTGAAAACACATTCTTAGCTCATAGACACTCCAGAGGACACAATTCTTGACAGATTTAGATGAAACTTGGTGTCAGAGTTGGTAATCACATGAACCCAATTGAAAATCTGGAAAATCGAAAAATATTTAGTACGAGTTATTGCCCTTGTTCTTGAAAACGCGTTCAATTTTTAGCTCGTAAACAATCAAGAAGACATCATTCTTGACAGATGTTTAGGCAAATTGGTAATATTATACAGTATCACCCCAAAAAGTTATAAAGAAGTGTAAGACTGTAGGTGGAATATTTCTTACTAGTAATTGTTACAAAGCTGCCTGGTAAGCTATCTTTCCAAGATAAACGGTTAGGTACAAAATGAAGATATTGAAGGTACAAATTTTGTGGAATTACAAATTTGGAAGTTTTTAA